GATTCCTGCCTCAGCTACTCCGACCTGAGACCCTACAGGTGCCCCGGAACTGGTACAGGGGAGGGTGTGCAGCTCACCTGGGAACACAGACACCTTAACCTGGAATGTGGGGTCCGGACCCCATTTATCGATCCCACACATGTATGTGCCGTCATCTTCCTCTGTGAGGCTGTCCAAGGTCACTGTGAAGGTCAGGTTTGCTGGGTCATCCCTGATGGACACGCGGCCGCGCCTCACTTCTCTCTTTGACTTTGTCGTCTCCACAATCTTCTTGTGCAAATCCGAGTACCAGTATTTGACATGCCCTGTGAATTCCTCCTCGTACTGACACTGCACGCTCAGGGACCCCCCCACAGTGCCCGTCACAGTGCGGGGGCCACTCAGAGACCAAGAACCTGAAAGACAGCCGAGTCCTGGTCCTCACCAGATGGGCCAGGGTCGGGGTGCTGTGGAGTCACCCCCATAGGTTTCCCCTTTCACATCAGTCATCATCTATCACCCAGATCACATCTGGAGTGTCCTCCCCTTCCTCTGTCACCCCAAGGTTTTGATCGCAGCAGCCCCTTCCTCCAGACCCTGCCTTTCCCACCCCTCACTGACCAGGGATCTCCCACTTCCAAACTTGTCAGGACCGGCAGAACTCACCCAAGCACCCCCGAGGCTCACCCCGGAGACCCATCCCCACCCCAAGCACCCCGGAGGCCCACCCCTGCCCTGAGCACCCCAGGGACTTGAAGAACTGCTCACATACAGATCTGTTCCCACCAAGGGACTACCACCAAGGGCAGAGAGAAGGCTGCCAAACAGTCCCCAAAACACTGGACGTGCTAGGTAAATTGTAGATAAAAATCATTCACACACACGAGTTTACTGTAGATGACGACCTTCATTCCATCCTGTCTGACTTCAGTTTGCCCGGCTCCTATAGACTTAATTTTCAAGGAAGCTCATTTTTTTTGTTTCCAAGATTTATGTCTGCATTTTCCCAAACAGTTCTCAGAGACAGAGCTGGGAGAGTAAGGTGATGCGTGTGACACCGATGCTGGCCACCTCACAGAGGACTCGTCCCCTCCCCTGGGCACTTGTGTGTGCAGCTGCTTGTCACCCTTGCAATTCTGTGATCAGGCCCCAAAATAGGGGTGGGGGAGGGGCTTGCTCTCTTTTCCTAGGGTTAGAACTACTTAAATTGACTTGTTTTCAGGTTCTTTAATCCCCATCGCAGCTCTATGTCCCAGGTGCCAAAGATGAGCACTAGCTCCTGTCAGTCACTCCCCAGGGGACCCATCAGGACCTCCTCTCCTGGCCTGGGTAAGCAGATGCCCTGCAGAGAAGGCTTTCCCAAGCCCTGTCATAGGGGTGACACTTACTGAGATGCTCAGTAGCGATTGCCAAGGTGTAGTGGGAAGGGTATCAGAAGAATCTGGGTTTATGTCTCTGCTCAATGGTGTAGCAGCTGTGTGTCCTGAGGCAAGTTACTTAACCTCTCTGAGCTTCAGATGCTTGATCTGTCCAATGGTGATAATTGGTAGGCCTCACGGGGCATTTGGGGACATTGAGTGAGAAAATGGGTGAGTGAGGCAGATATCAGGAAGGAGCCGCAAGCGCTCGATGCGGGCAGATCCCGTGAAACACACAAGGACACTGAGAGGGTCAGTAGACAAAATAGCGGTAAGAGGATTTCCAAATTCATTCACAAAAAGTCATAGCTTTCCGACAGAAATAGAATAGCAAACAGAATTGAGACAACGTGCCATTTAGAAGCAGAACAACTAACAAGACTTTTAATATCCTACAAATGAACCTCACCAGACTGCAGGACCTGTTTGAGGCGAGCTGTAAGCTACCGAGAAGCACAGGAGATGAACAGTGGGCAGGAGGCCCTGTCCTTCCTACTGGAGGAAGCCTCCCTTCCCTTCCTTCCCCCAGTTTCCCTGTCCTCCTCTTCCCACTGCCATCCTGCTTCCCTGTCCCCACCTCCCCGCTGGCCCTTAGGCCCCAGCCCTCCAGGGGCCCTGGCTGCACACTTCCAAGTCCCCGAGACCATGACAAGCTCCTCCCCAGCCCCCACACTTCCTCCACATCCTGGAACTCGTTCGTGAACCAGGAGGGTATCTCCCGTCAAAACACAGCCCGCCCCGGGTGCGCTCAGGGCGGCCAGCCTCCCCCCCACTCCGCTGGCAGCGTCCTTCCTGCCTCTCGCCCTCCTTCCTGTATTAATTCATCTGAAAACCTCCCGCCAAGCCCCTCCTCTGTGCCAACCCCTTCGCCCCACTGTGGCTCATCTAAGGTCGGGCGGATGCCTGACGAGAGACAAGCCCTCGCCTCTTTTCCCTCCCCAGGTTGTGGTCCCTCCATCTGTCTACCTTATGTGGTGGTTACAGCGTGTCCCCTTCTGAGTTCAGTATGGAGTCCAGACTCAGGGTGCTTTCCGTAGCACCTCCCTGCAGCCCTACCCCTTCTGCCCCCCCTCCCTCCCGCTGACCCTCCCCCAGGCAGCCCCTCACCTGGGGCCCAGAGAAGCAGCAGAGCCAGAGCAGAAGGCAGCCACGATGCGCGGTCCTGCTGGGTCATCTCTCCAGCACAGAGGTCACCTGCAGCAGCATCGGGTCCCAACTGGGCCTGAAGCTTCGATCTTCCTCAAAGAGGACGGCCAAGTCTCCAAGGCTCCCACTTCTGCTTTTCTTCCTGTGTGCTGCTTCCTTGTTCAGCTTCGTTTTGGTTCTGTTCCTAGAGCTGGTCAGAAAACAGAGAGCCCTGAGGGAGCAAAGCTGGGGTGGCTGGCTGCGACACCCCAGGAGCTGC